TTATGGTCTGAAAGATACGGTATCTAAATTCCTTATCACAGCTCCTGTGCTATATCTTAATAGTTCCTCAAACTGCTTAATCCAGAAGACTTCTAGGGACCCTAGTACCCTATGCATAAACCCTGACTGCTATACACAACCTTCAAACTTGAAGATATCTGGTAAAGAAAATATGTGTATGCGGTTTCTGTGCTGTATTGTGTACTTTAATGTTCTTTAAAACAGACATATACACACACACACTCACCAGGGGGCAGTGGTTCATCTACTCTCTGGTAGCGACTGATGTCATGGCGAACAGATGGCAGGGAGTGAACGGACTGGTGGCCATTGACCTGTTCTGTGGCACCTGGATAAAAACACATAAACAAGCATCAAAATGAATATAAGAAATCCAAAAAAGTTAATTTTTTTTATAGTCATGGTTCATAACAGCTCTGCTGCTTAATATAATTCAATAACATGAAAAGGTTAAATAAACAAAATTGTTCCCTTTAAAGCCAGTGCATTATTTGTTTTGAACCAAGTGCCACTACAGTCTTTCATTAATACTTCCTGATCGCTCGGTTATTTTTTTTTTAACAAGGTTATTCATCTTTCGCTGGACTGGACCCCAAATGGCACAGCCATACCAGGCTTGGCACAGAGAAAACCTAATGACACTTGAAGCACCCATCTGTAGGCAAAGAGCTGAAAGGGGGGTCACTGGTCACCAGTCTGCCCTCCTGTGTGTCTTTACAAATTTCATGTGCATGAATCTCAGGATTTTGTTGAAATGTTTAATAAGCCTATCCATGCACTGCATGAAAAGTTTAGTCTTTGTCAGTGAGCAACACTGTAAGCTGCTATGGAATTACAAGTTAACTCTATACAAAGGTTTTGAGGCAATAGAAGAGAGCTTAGTGTGTAAATGAATGAATATCATGATAGTATGGAAGGGCCAACACAGAAACACACACACACACACACACACACACACACACACAAACACACACACAGAAACACAAAAACAAACACGAAACATCACACCACCACTTCCCCTGCCAGTGGCGGACCCTCAGACATCGGTGCGTTGGTGGTTCTTTGTGTCCGGGGATGGGCGTCCAGGTACACACCGGCTCACTCCTTGGCGGCCGCTTATCGGGGCCTGGAGCCTGGGGCTCGCTCGGGCCACTTCGGAGGTGGGGTGCCCCCGGCCTCTCGGCCTGGGGCTCGGTCACTCAGGCACGGCTGGCTGCCGGCGGAGCTCACGGGCGCGTCACTGCAACTCCCCCTGGCTTCTGCTCCGCGGCTGCTGAGTGAGCCCTCATCTGGGACTCTCCTCAGCTCTTTCTGGGACAGTGGCGCGGCTGCCCCTCTGTTGGTCTTCCTTGGTCTCTTGTGTTCTGGGGGCCTCTGGATGTCTGGAGTTTTGATCTCCTCCATACCTGCTTCATGCCCTGGAGGACGGGGCTGTGGCCCCCCCACACCCTCTAGCAGATCATTACATGAAGGAACCTTTTAAAAACAAGCGCGTCCATGCTCACAGGTGTACACACGGGTGATCACACCCACAAACTACACCCTTTTTGGCTCCTACCTCAAAGCACACTGTGTTGTGTTGATCTTATGTGCTGCACAATAATGTTTAATATTTAGTATTTACTGTCATATTCCCATATATCATTGTGATGTTGTTTATTCTATTACTCTTGTTCTCTTCTGCTTGCTTTCTTTTTTCTTTCTCAGCAGGTGACCCAGGTGATTGATATATGCATTTTTTTTCTCTGCCCGTTCTGTTGGTTTTTGTCTTTTGCCCTTCTCCCCCGTCCCTCTTCTCAGCTGTTTCTCTTTCCCTCTTTCTTTCTCCCCTTCTTTCCCCCAGTCAAGTCTGTCCCGTATTCAGTAAGTGAAAATAAAATAAACAATAAAAGGTGAATCAAATGGACCATTACGGCAAGGCTGGGATGGTCAATTTGGTAAAGTAAATCCGTTGGGCATCTTTCTTTGCCTTTAGACAACAATTCTGATGGCAAAAGAGCCAAACGGGACAGGCCAAAAAAAACAAAAAAACAAAACGAAAACATCAGATCGCTACAAGAGAAAACATATTGGGTTCCGTTGAGTGAACGCTGGCGCGCCTGGCTGCTGCTGCCAACCGGTTATTGTTATTATTTTTATTATAATTTCTTCAGATGCTGACAACAATTTGAATCGTACGTTCACACTGCAGGCGAAAGCGCATCAAATCCGACTTTTCCGACCCTATGCGACCCATATCCGATCATGGTATGACAGTGTGAACGGCACAAATCCGATATTTTCAAATCCGACCTGGGACACTTTCGTATGTGGTTCTGAATCCGATACATATCTGATGTTTCAGAAAGCGACTGCTGTTTGCAGTTAGCTCCTAGCATTTCTCGACAGCTCTGCCTCCTTTTCGACTATACGAGTCTGCTCCTTCCTATTTGTGTGACCTGCTCCATATCACCACTGTTTCCAGGCCTCTCAGATCCTCATATTCATCTTACTGTTCTGCCCACGCGTCTCATCACTGTGGGGAACAGAGCCTTCAGTCGCTCTGCTCCTCGGCTCTGGAACTCTCTTCCTCCAGCCATAAGAAATATAGACTCTCTTCCCGCATTATTTATATTATATCATTATTATTATTTTTATATCATGCTGGATACTGATGTGGACCGGACAATGTGTTAGGACTGAAAGGATCCCACATTCTTTTAAAGAAAATGATCCACTTATGGAGGGCTGACACTTTAAAGACACTCCAAAAATCGAAGTGAAAAACAGATGCGGCAAGCTAGTTCATTTTGCTGAAATCTTATTGCAGCAACTCAGAAAGGTACCTGACAACGTTGGGGCATGCTCCTAATGAGACGACAGATGGTGTCCTAGGGAATCCCTTCCCAGATCTGGACCAGGGAATCACTGAGCTCCTGAACAGACTGAGGTGCAACCTGATAGCGTCAGATGGATTGAAACATAATGTCCCAATGGTGCTCTGTTGTATTTAGGACAGGTTAACATGTGGGCTGGTCAATGGTAACAGTTCCTTTATCCTCCAGGAACTGCCAGCATACTCTCACCACATTATCCCAGGTATTATCATGCAACAAGAGGAACCTAGGACCCACTCCACCAGTGTAGGCACTTAGAATGGTTCCAAGGATTTCATCGTGATGTCAAATGGCAGTTGGGGTCCCGTTGTCTGACTTTTAGAGGTCTGTGCGTCTCTCCATGGACATGCCTCCCCAAACCACCACTGACCCATCATCAAACTGATCATGCTGAACAATGCTACAGGTAGCATCATATTTGGAAATCATGTATCGGTATTTCAGGAGCAGGACCACGCCTCCTAACATGCTCCTTCCAGTTGTCATCTATAAATGTTCCTCCAGTTTAGCAAGCTGTTCATTCTCGTTTACTTGCCCCACCCTCCCTCCTTCCTTGTTCTCAATTCTTTAACTTCTTCACTTCTATTTAGTGCATGGGGATCTGCCAGGCCCGGGAGCCGTCGCCAGTCCCCTTCGAGGCCTTCCCCAAACCGCAGCTCAGTTCATGTCCAAGCATCACCTTTACCTACCAAAACGCTGTCAAACCTAAAATGAGGACGTGGGCCCAGCTAGTGAAGTATAAATATACTCCATGGCTTCTGCTGAAGAGAGTTCAGTAGACGACGTGGGCTCTCATGCCACCCTCATAAAGTCTGTTTCTGATTGTTGTCACTGAAATTCACACCAATGACTTGCTGGAAATCCTTTTGTAGAGCTCTGGCAGTGCTCATCCTGTTCCTCCTTGCACAAAGGAGCAGACACTGGTATTGCCAATGGGTTAGGAACCTTGTATCAGCTGGTTCAGCTCTCCTAGAGTAACTATCTCCTGGAATCACTTCCATGCTGTTGAGACCATGCTAGGAGCAAGCCTTCTGGCAATGGCACATATTGATGTGCCATCCTGGACCGGATGGCAATTTAATACGTCCGTTTCTGTCAGTATGGAATTGACGTATTGATTTCGTATTGAATATGTCATTCCTTTATTGGACTACCTTTGCAAAGTCTGTAGGGTCCAGACATCGACCCTAGCCAAATGCATAACCAGTGAAAAACGGTCCAAAAAGAAGGAGGATGTGGAGACGCAGATAATCGACAAGTAGTTTGATGGTGTCGTACCCTTGTGGGGATCTTTTATGATTAGGACTGTTCTGCCCTGTGACAGTCTGGATGAATACCTGCTGTTAGTAGCTCCCTTATTTGTCCTGCCAGGTCATTGAGTGCTGTTAGTATAGAGATGCAGGTAGAGGCAGTAGAGGGGCACTATTTGTGATCAACTATGAAAGGTCACTATTGTGACCTTTAATTTTTGTGATTATTAGACCAGTTAAAGTAAAAAGATGAGTTTTGGTGCAGTTTTTGGTGCATAAATACTACATGCAATAGTGAGCAGACTGTTGTGTATTGAAATGTATAATATAATGCCCTGTATAATCATAATGGTAATAGGGGTAGCATGAGGATTGGGTTGGGGCCTTTCTGTATGGAGTGTGTATGTTTTCTTCATGGCTCCTCCCACAGTCCAAACATATGCAGTAAGTGGAGTTAGTCTGTCTTCATGCATGCTCAATCATCCAGTTAAGGAAATCAGTTAGTCGGTGGTGCTGGTGTCATTCTGCAGATGTTTATAAGGTTGGGGAAACCTTCAGTCAGCTGAAACTGAAGAACCGATGATTCTAAATTGTCCATAAGTGTGAATGTGGAACATGACTACGGATGATGTCTGTCTGTGTTGACCCTGCGACAGACTGGCGATCTGTCTTGGGTGTACCCCACCTGTAATCTTATCACAACTTGGATAGCCCTCCCATAGCCCCAAAGTTTGATAAGTGGAAAGAGAATGCAGGGATGGATGGATGCTTAATAATAATCAAAATAATAATAATAAGAAGAAAATATTTGTGTCTGGAGTTGAAATGGTCAAAAGAACATTTGGTTAAATGTTTGCTCAGTGCCTTGGATATGGGTTTTTACATATGGATTTGTTGATCTGGTTAGATGTGCAAAGGTCATGTTAAACTTTCACATTGTTACACATGAAACCACTCATATTTAATGTAAAAAATATAATTACTATAATCATTAAAAGACCAGGCTGAAAATCTGAAATGTCCTGATATACATGGCCAAGGTTTTTGTTTTTAAAAATGCATTTCTTACGCTCTACAAACTTGAATAATATGTAATGCTTGGATGAATTAAACTCCTCTGGTATGGACAGATCTATTGCTCAAGATAGCTACATTACAGAAGCAGAAAAATTATTCAATATGTTGTTAAAGAATTAGGTTTGTTACACATGAGGATAAAACTACAGCAGAATGTTAAGACTTGTATTCTTCTTCTTACAGTATGTGAACAATGTGGACCCAAAACAGTACAAACAGAAAACTGCGTAACATGATGACGAGCAGACAAAAGCTGAGGGTACAAATAAACATGGAGACACTTGCAGAAAGTGAACATACAGGTGCAAGCAACTGGGAGATCGTGGCTGAGGAAAGTAGAACTGAATAAAACACATAAAAAAGTCTATCAAAATAAAACAGCAAATAACATACGAAGGAACAGTTATAACTATAAAACCTGAAGACTAAACAGAGTATAAAAAGCAGACAAAACCTGCAACCGGAGATTTGCACAATCAAATGAAAAACTATGAGTGAAAACAAAAGGAGTCCTTTGAATGTATTTGGTACTCCTGTATTTTTTCTGTTTCTTTTTGTGTACTTTATATAATAAAAAATGAAATCGTGTTTGAAACTTTTTTCAGTGCCTTTAGCAAAACTTTGAAACTTTTTGTGACAGAACCTACCAGCTTTAGATGTCATGCTTCTTCCTTGCTCAGCCATGCAGGTGGATAGCGAAGGTGGTGCTGGCCCATTTGCCTCACTGCTTGATGGCTCCCCCGGTTCCTCCTCTGCCTTTGGAACAACTGCTTTTCTTGTTCTCACTTCCTGAAAAAAATGAGAGAGGAAACATGCAGGGGTGAGGCTTTGTCAAAGCTCTTGTCAAGATGACAGTGATTGTCAGCAATGAACTATTGATAATTTATAGTTTCACTTCAGCTTTTAAAGGTAATCTGCCACATGTAGAACCAATATTAAAGAGGGATGATGCTCCTAAAGTCACAGTGCCTCACCTGAATGGGTGAAAGAGGACCAAGTGCGGGATTGCAGTGTACTTCTGGGTTTTTCCCAGTCCTGATGCTGTGCTCCTGACTTGGACATTCCCCTGGAGATTCTCCAGATCTGACTTCAGCTGCCTCAGCCCTTGATACCTGAGATGAGTTGGAAGCTGCAGCAGTTTCTCCAACAACCTGTGCAGCCATTGTTCTGGCAGCTTCTTCAATTCTATCTGCTGATTGTCGTGTCTGTATTGGGAGTGCAGCAGCACCTTCTTGTGCTCCTGCTCCAGCTTCAGGCCCTGCAGTGTTGGCTCCAGACTGAGCACCAGCAGAAGAACCTGCCTCTCCCGTGGCCTGAACTCCAGGCCCTGCCTCACATGAGCCCTGTGACTCGCCTTTTGAACCACTGCTCCCCTGTGGAGACTCAGGTGTAGCTGAGTTGGTATTCTGCTGTGTCTTTGTTTCCAGCGATTGATCCCAGTGCTGCCCAGCTCCTTCCTCATCCTCATCTGAGTCAATGTGTAGCATGGCACTGAGCCGTGTGTCTGTGGGAAAGCTGGAGCTGAGCTTTGGTAATGGCCCTGCTGCAGGTCGGTCCCCAATGCTCCTGGGACCTTCGAGGGAATCTAGGTAGTCATTAAGTGACACCTGCCTTTGGGTGAAGCTGCCAAGAGCCACAGGAAGCAGATTCACCTCTCCCACTTGCCCAGGCTCCTGCCACACACTGTCATCGCCATAGTAACATGAACCATTAACATATAAGGAGCCCTCATCAGAACCAATGCGAGAAGGTCCACATGTAGCACCTAAAGACGAGGAGAGCTGATGGAGATCTTCGTCGTCGGAGGGACTCCCAGGGTCACCATTCATCACACCACCCAGGATCGTTCCCAGAGGGTCTGGCGAAGCTTCTAGAGCAGAAAAGAGGATGGATGAGAAGGACAGGATGTGACAACAGAGATAAATAACGTGTGCTTTCATGACATGTTAGCAGAACAAAAACAACACCTCCCACTTCCTCGTCTTCTTTCGGCTGTTTCTGTTAGGGGAACATCTTATTCCATCTCGCTCTATCTCTAGCATCCTCCTCTGTCACACCAATTGTTTGCATGTGCTCCTTCACAACATCCATGAATCTTCTCTGTGGTCTCTGTGGGTGCTGGTCACGCCCAGAGAAAACCTTAGCATCTTCAGCTCTGTCACCTCCAGCTCGGCCTCGTGTCTTTTTGTCACTGTCTCCAAACCACTCGCCGTGTAGACCAGGTTTCGCTACAATCTTCTAAACGTACTCTTTCCTTCTTGCTGCTATTGTAACAAAACACACCGTGACACCCATCTCTATACACTCCACTCTGCTTGCCCTCATCTTGTTCACCGCTCTTGTGTACTGTCCGTGGCTTTGGAAGGTTGACCACAGGTACTTGAACACACCCTGCTCCTCACTATTACGCCTTTCTTATTTACACACATGTATTTTATCTTGTTTTCACTGACTTTCATTCCTCTTCTCTCCAGAGCATGCCTCCACATGCATGTGGCATGTGGATCTTGGTCATTTTTTTGGCATGTTTTATGGCCCTCGCAGTGCTTTTGTTTTTACATTTTGCAACACACCGCTGCTGCCCAGAGTTCCACAGGAACTCAAGAGGAGACATCAGGCCAGAGCAAGAGTTAAAACAAGGAGAAGGGAATATAAATCCCCTGTTCCATCAGTCATCATGGGGAATGTGAGGTCTCTGACTAATAAGATGGAGCTGATGAAACATCAGAGGCAGTATTGGGAGGCAGCTTATTATGCATGGAGGCATGGCTGCACTCAGTGCCACCGGCTTCGTCATCTGGCCTTTTCACTGCTCGGGCCAACAGAGGCCAAGCTGAGCAGTTAGAGGAAAGGTGGAGGGATTGCAGTGTTTATTAATGAAAGGTGGTGTATTCCAGGATATGTTACTGTGAAGGAACATCTCTCCTCACCTAACGTTAAACTTTTAGCTGTCAGTTTGCGCCCATATTATTTATCGCAGGAATTCTCCTCCACTATATTAACTGTTTTTTTGTACCACCATCAGCTAATGGTGCAGCAGCGTGTAACATCATACATGCAACTGTTGATGGCCTATAGTGTAAACACACAGAGGCATTGATCACCATCAGTGGTTATTTTAACCATGTCAGTCAAGACTCCACTCTGCCAACTTTCCAGCTGCATGTGGACTGTAAAACACAGGACAAACGAACAGTTCTCTCTACAACTTCTGTTCCCTTTCAGTCGATTCACTCGGTACAACACATAAGGCTGGGACATATATACACGTCCCGCAGAGCAGCCACCGAACTGGAATCGGACCACCACCACCACCTTAGTGTGCAGCAGACCAAGCAGACAGGACAGTATGAGCCACCGAAGGGGCTGTAACATCCAATCGATAAAACCAAAGCAAACCAAAAAGTGCGAGAGAAAGTTCATATCCACAGACTCAATGGGTTCAAACGGGGGCTACAAACGGCCTCCAGCACCAAAGATAAGTCCCAAGCAGGACACTGGACTTAAGCACAGGTCTCAGCCAGCGAACCGCTTTCAGAAAACATATGGCAAGGGGATGTGCACCTGGTGTCACCCCATCAAAGCCAACATGACAAGCAAAAATAGCCGCTAGACAGACCTTAACTGTCGAAAATGAAAGGCCCGTATTCAGCAGCTCCTGCAGGAATGTCAAAACATCCACAATAGAGCACTGAAATGAGTATGGAGGTCCTGGCACCATTGCTCGAAGGCTCGCCATTTGTAAGTGTACACATACACACCTTCTTGTCCAGCTGAAGTGATGTCCACTCTGAACATAAGCTGCCCGCTCACATGGTCCATAGGAAGACGACGACACAGGCTGTAGCTGACTGTCTGATCACTGCACACACATAAACAATTGTTTTGTCCCTACTGACAAACACCTACTAGCATTTCAATACGGTACAGAAAACAAGCTCTCTTTCCTCAGCACACTGATCTCAATTCAATCAACAATCAACTGACTGGATGGGTAATTGTGCATCAACTACATTCTGCTGATTTATATGCAGTTTTCCACAATGGGGAATTTATTGGTAATTTCTGTGCAACTTGCCTGGAGACTGACAATTGTTGTTAACACTGCACAAACTGTATGCCATCACTGCTTACTTAAATTAATGCCTGACCAGCAAGCTGGTTGGGAATTATGGATAGGTACTGACTGAACTACATAACTACTACCCTCCAGAGAAGGTTGCTCTTTCTGTCTTAAAGAACAACCTTCTATGAAAGAAACGTAAAAAAAAAGTACAACACACGTGACACCGTCACTGACGCCGAGTCTGACTGACTTTCCTTGCACAGTTGTTTTGTCCTTTACCTGTTTTTGGTTCTGAACCCATCTCATGTTTGGCTCTGCGTGCCAACTTACTCAGCAGCTGGCCGTTCCAGAAGTCTCCGGATGGGGATGATCAGCTGGCCCAGGAAGCGCTTGATGATTGGCCGGCTCTTGGCAAACTTGTCCTTCACCTCAATCTCCAGCACATCAGTTATCAAAGCCACAAATGTATATTTCTAAAGAAAGAGTAAATAGCAAAATGCTGGAAAGTTTAGTATATTTATACAGTTGTGCTTGCATTACATAAAGTTAATTATTGACTCTGCCCAGTGACTCTACCTGGCCTACCACTTCTCAGTTGCTGTCGTTCCTAATCATTTCTACTAACAGTTGACTGCAGAATATTTAGTAGCAAGTAAATTTCTCAACTGAAATATTGCACAGGTGCCATTCTATCACAGTACCACACTGGAATTTACTGGAATGACAGTATTACATAGCTGGCATGGTGGATTCAAACAGAACAAAGTAAAAAAGCTGCTTCAAAATGAAAACAGTGAAGGGAGAAAAGAAGAGGACAAAGCAAGGATTAACCTGGGACAAGGATTTACAGAGTTTTAGGATTTAAGGGGCTTAAAAACAGAAATACAGGAGTTATCATTCAACTGATGGCTAAGTAACAAACCATGCCCCATATATATATATATATATATATATATCGGTCCACCCCAGACCAAAGGGAAACATCTCCTGGGTCTGGGGGCGGATTGGCCCTCTGGGTTTGCCCCTCTGGATCTGGAGGTATAGAGTACGTTTGGGGAGTGTGAGTGTGTGTACAGTATGAGTATTTGTATATGTGTGCATGAGGGTGTGAATGCATGTTTGTGTCTTAGTGTGACTGTTTGTTTATGTTTATGTGTCAGGTCGGGTCTCCATCTCTCTGGGAACATCTTAGGCCAACCCAGGTGTGGCAGCCCATCTCCCCTCACCACACTCCCTGCCAGTTGCTGATGCCCTCACCTTTCGGACACTAAGAACCACCAATGGGTGGTTCTTAGTGTCCGGGGCTGGGTGCCTGGGTGTGTATTGGCTCACTCCCGGCGCCTGCTTGGTGGGGCCTAGCACCCGTGGCTCAGTCGGGCCCCTTCCGAGGGGTGGAGGGCCCTCAGGCCTCTGGGCCTGGGGCTCAGTCTGTGCTTCCCAGAGTTGTCTCTATTTTCTGAGGCAACTGAGGTAGTTTGTGTTGGTGTCTGTTGTGTAGGTGACATTCACCATGCTGTTGCATGCTGGGGCAGCAGGCTGACGATGCTGATGATGCCAACAGACTCAATAAACGTATCTGCCAGTGACATTGTGGAGAAGGAGCTGAACATATATTGTCCAAAATAAGCAGAATGTTGGACAACACCTCCGACCCAGTCGTTTAGCACCACTGAACAACAGGAAATATTTTTGTTTAATTAATTTAGGTTAGTTAGTTGCTGTTCTTACTGTCTTGGAGCAACTATGCCCACAGTAATATCTTCTGTGATTAATAAAGTACTCCAGCTTTGATTGTGATTCTGATCAATCCAGAGTTATTTAAAAGTAGAATGGGAGGCAGAGCCTTCAGCTACCTGGCGCTCATGTATTGAACCATTTACCCTTTCATCTTAGCTTTGATGCCTGACAGGAGTTTTCCTGTAGGCATCACAGAGCTACCAGGTTATTGGCTGGTAGTTGATGGGACCTGTCTTTTCTGAGGATCCTTAGCAATCAGGACTGTTCAGCCTTTACTTCGCCATTCCAGGTGTGTCTTGTCCAATAGCAGCTGGTTCCTTTGTGCTGGTAGATGCTCACAGAGTGCAGTGCGCTTGTTTAGCCAGGAGATGTGAATCGTGTCAGGGCCTGGCTCTGTCCAACTCTACATACTTGAGCCTCTTTCTCAGATGTCTACCATGGTGATTGTTATTGGATCCTGTTCAAGGAGGTTGCTGTGACCTGCTCTCAGATCCATTGGCTACTGAGCGTTGTTGTTATATGATGTCTCCTTCTCCCATATGCTCTTCCAGTTGCTCTGTCTCCAGCCTTGGTGGGGCTGCTCTCATAGTGCTCCTCTACCACTGAGAATATAACTTGGAAGGTTTATTCTCCTGCCTTCTGTCTCTTGTGTATACCTCTTCTAGTTGCTAGTCAAGGCTGTGGTTCTTTGTTGGCAGTATCCAAGGCCACAAGTATAGGCAGCTTTCTGTACTTGTTAGACATCCCCTTCTACGTCTGCAACTCCGACATTTGGCTAACACACCTCCATGCTGCTTTGATTTTGGTCTCTAGTCTCCTTCTCCATCAAGGGTACTGCTCCTTGTGGCTGTTCATCTCGTAGCCAAGCATGTCACTGATCACTGCTGCTGTGGTGTACATAGGCTGGCTGGTTTTGCTGATGGTCACAGTAGAGATTCTCCATAATGCATCTTTCTATAGACCTTCAGAGTATACTTCATGTAGTCTTGATAAATGGCCAAAGGGGGTCCAGGTTTCCAGCTGCCAGCTGCTCTAGCACTCAACGCCTCCAATTTGCTAATGCAAGTTAGCCACACTGTCCCATGTAAGGAGGACTCTGATTGGTTAGAGAGAGACACACTGGCTGCCTGGATCTTTCTGCAGAGCTGTGCAGATAGCTTTGCACTGCTAAGAAGTATCTGTGCTTATACAAATGCAGCCTCTGTATTTACACTCTGCCCAACAAAGACATATGTGAAGAATATGAAAGGATTCTGCAGTGAGATAAAGAGCTGAACCTTGTGTCTGTGGACAGCCTGACCCCTGTTGAAGGTAATGTGCTAAACATGGCTAATGCTATTATTACTGCCTTAAAGCTCATGATTAAAATGCTGATTGTAAATACATCAGTCCATATGTTGCCACATAACTATAGTTGTCTCTTCTATCTTTCCTTTTATTACTCTGCCAAGGCAAAGAGTAGAGTCAACACTATTGATTTAAGTTCATTTATTTTAACTACACGAGTATACAAATTCATCCTCAGCTGGACATAGATGATCATCAAGGACCATCTTTACCTAATCCCAGCCTCTAGGGCTACGCTCAAACTGCAGGTCTTAATGCTCGATTCTGAGTTTTTGAACAAATCCGATTTTTTTGTCTGCTCGTTCACACTACAAATAAAATGCGACAGCAAACGCGCTCTAGTGTGAAC